GGGGGGCTTACCCAGCATGTATATAAGCCAGTAGGTCTGCGTCAGTTAGGACCAGACTAGTTATAGTTATTCACCTGCTCTTACTCAGTTTGCACCCTCTACTAGTAAACCGCCTTCAAGCAGTTACTCAGAAGAACTATCAGATTATCAGATAGTGAGTAAAGTTAGGCTTAGGGTTAAGGTTTGGGTTAGGGTTGGAGTCACTGCGGGTCATCACATGACAGGGGGGGTGAACTTCCTGTGGAAGAAATCCTTCTTCCATCAGAAGTCTTTATTCAGGCCATTCAGAACCTTGAACCCATCAATACAAGATATCAAACAATGCATCTTGACCTGCAAAACCAAGGACAGCATTGCCGATCATGGACTTCAGCTGGCATTACAACACACTTTGTCCACAGACAAACGTACTCCTCCTAACTGGGACATTCAGGACGACTTGTTGGTATTCAGAGAACAAGTCTACATACCCAAGGATACCCAACTCCGGCAGGATCTCATTCAGGAAGCTCATGATTCCCCTATCACAGGACACCCTGGACGATACAAAACACAGGAGATTCTTCAAAGAACCTACTGGTGGCCCACTCTAGCACGCGATGTCAGTGACTATATCACTGGTTGTGCAATCTGCCAAGAGAATAAAGTTATCACACATAGGAACTCCCCAGATCTAGTACCCATTTCAACAGAACATCACCTTCCCTTCCAGTCCATCGCTATGGACTTCATTATGGATCTACCTTGGAGCAATGACTTTGACAGCTGCCTGGTGGTTACGGATCATGACTGTACCAAAACCTCAGTATTCATTCCCTGCAACAACACAGTCACAGCATCAGAAACCACTACCCTGTATCAGAACCATGTCTTCTGGCGATTTGGACTACCTGCCAAGGCTATATCTCCGGACAGAGGACCACAGTTTGCATCACGGATGTTCAGGAACTCTGCACTAAATTAGGCATCAAACAGAACATTTCTAGCACCTTCCACCCTCAGACTGATGGACAGTCAGAGTGTGTCAACCAAGACTTGGAATTGTATCTCTGGATCTTTTGCAATCACCGAGCAACTGATTGGACAAGTCACTTGCCACTAGCAGAATTCACGCACAATAACAGATATCATGATGCCATCAGGATGTCTCCTTTTCAAGTGCTCATGGGTTACCAACCCCGGCATAATATTCCCACTGTGGGAACAACAGATGCTCCAGACATCGCTTCTAGACTCACTCAGTTAGCACACCTCCACACAGAAATTCAATCCAGCATCCGACTAGTGGAGGAGACAGTCAAGAAACGAAATAAGGACAAGTTTGTCAAATACTTACCTGGTCAAAAGGTATGGCTAGAAGCCACTAACCTCAAAGGCCTCCACCTAAAGGCCAAACTTGGACCCAAATGCTATGGACCCTTCACCATCGATCAGAAACTGTCACCGATAGTTTACTGGTTGAAATTACTGCCCAAGTGGAAGATTCACCCCATATTCCATGCAGGATTACTCTATCCTTATTCGGAAACAATGATGCATGGAAAAAACTATCTCCGACCTCCACCAGAATTAATCAAGAACCAGGAGGAGTTTGAAATTGAACGTATCATTGATTCAAAGACAGTAGGCAAGCGAACACTGTACCGGGTACAATGGAAAGGATACCCAGCTTCGGATGACTCCTGGTTACCAAGAACCAAACTTTCACATGCCAAAGATGCTTCGGCAGACTTCATGCAACCAAACAAAGGGTGAGCCTTCATAAGAGTCAACCACCCTCGGACTCTCCTATGGCATCCACCACTATTCTCGCCGCACTCCTCATTCTCGTCTGGTTCCTCTTCGCCCTCCTCATCCTCGCCCTCACCCTCGCCTTCCACTACTTCAAGGCAACCTACAAAATCGAAATTGTCCTAACCCGACAACCGACCACCCCCACCATCGACTTAACCCCTGAGTGGCCCACAGGAGTACAAGTAAACCCTCCAGACCCTCTCATTCCTACCCCCTTTACTGACTTATTTAGTGGTGAACCAACTCTCCCCTGTCACCGCCGCCGTCATCGTTGCCACCGACAACCACCCCCACCTCCTTCTTCTCACCCTTCTAGGGCTAATCCTGATCAGCCTACTCTCCACCCTCACCCTCACCCTCACCGTCCCCCTCCTCCTTCGGCTCACCATCCGACATCTCAAATGCAAGCATCAGTGGGCCTTCAACATAGCCGCCACTGCTCAACGTCCCCTCCAGCCTACGATCACGACCACCCCAGTCATAGCTGCCAACAGGGATTCTAACAATCCCACTCAAGTTTATTTTGAGTACATTAGGGAACGTCAAGATTAGTGTTCGGGGTCTCTGCTTGTCCGTAGTAGTTGGATCCTTCTGTATTCTGGGCTTGGTTTTATCTAGAAAAATCCCCTTTTGGCTTTCCTTCATGCCTGCTGAGCGCAACAACCATGCAAGAAACAATGCAACTTATAATCTGGATCCGTGCCGTCGTCCTTTGGCTCCTAGGCATGATAATTCTCCAGAGACTGGCCCCCAAAGAGCGCCAACTCTGCACCCTTCCCACCTGTGAACTCTAGAAGAGTGTTTCACAGCTGGAATAATAGAGATTCCAGTCCCTAGGCGTCCCATCTTGAGCTTCCCTTCCCAACAGGAGTCTGATGACTCTTCCCTAGAATTCCTGGATGAAGGCGGGTTCCGTTACCCATTTGCCCCTTCCCTGCCAAATGCCACTCATCGACCCTTCCTCATTCCAGGACCCCCTGACTCTTCCAACAGCGATGTCGCGGTCCTACATCAATTCCCTGGACCCCTGGAAGTCTCCCAGGCATCAGAAGCAACCACCGCGTCTTATCACGTCGCTCCTGCACAGGTATTCCCCTCCTCATTGCCTATGAATATCACGTCTTCGCCCAATCCTGACAGTCCTATCGCTGCGACCACCGACTCCCTCAGCATGCCGCCCCTCGCCTCGGACGATTCGGACAATGGTAGCCTTGACCACGTCCCCAGTCTTCAACTACTATCAGACGTCAGTGAATACATCACGGCCACAGAAGGGTATAGCAGCGATACACAGGAATTTGTGGTCTACAGCGACGATGTCATTCAACGACCCTCCAATGATGTCACTTGATATTGGCATTCCATCTCTTTTGACACCTCCACTCCTGTCCAAGATGTTGACCCCTTGGAGCGAACACTACCCTATTTCCCTGGAGCATATGCAACCACCGTTACATGACCTCCTATGGGTGTTCCCATCGACGGAAATCCGGCCTTTGGACTACAATGTGTAGCAACCACCACACCTGATGTCCTTCAAACGGTGGAACCTGTGAGGAACTGGAATCAATTGGATAAGGAATGGGAGGAGGACACTTGGGAATATCTGTTGACAAGAGATGATAACCTATTGGAATCTCTCTGGGCTTCGTTGCAAGATATCAAGGATCTTGGGGTGACCGATGAAGTCGATCGCTTCAGAGCTGTTGACGCCAAAATCGACTTACTACTGGCAGCATGACGATCGGTAGGAGCAGAACTTATCCGTGCTCAACAGGAGATGGATCAATGCCACGTTCGTCTTAAAGCAGCCAACCTGGAAGAACATGTTACAACTTGGAGGGGGGGTTTCTTTTCTTGTCTAACTATTCGTCGTTGACCCTGTACTATACTACTGATCACATTACTTGATACTTCACTACCATCATGCGTCTCATATCTATCTATCACCTGTCACTTGTCTCCTGTCTTTACTTACATCACTTTCGGTTATCATGTTTCATTCCTATCACTGATACAACGCAGTGACATCTGTCATCTATACATCACTGATTCAACTCAGTGTTTCATACTTATTAAACTCTATTCGCCTTGCCTATTTAAGTAGCACTATTCCACTACTGTACTTTAGTTTTTTCCTCTTGTTCCCTATGTACACTTCATAGGGACAGTTCCCCAGTAATAGA